CTCCATATGGCCAAATTAAGCATTCAGTTTTAGTTAAACTAATAAGAGGTGTCACTGGATGTGGTAGGAAAGTGAAGCAGGTTCTGACACCTAGTGGGTCTGCATGTTTTCATCTACAGCGTGGCTGACATGCACCGCCATGGCAAGACCAGGTGAGTGAGGTTCTCGCTGGTTCCCGCCAGCACAGGGCTGGCTCGAAGGGTCCCAGCAGGGCGGAGGTGGGCACAGGTGGCCTTGGCGTGTCCTCAGCCTCCCCTGGGCTGCATGCTGCAGGCTGGGCCGTGCCTGTATCTGGGAAGCTGACACAGGGCTCCCTGCTGTGACTTCCTTTGATACCCATAGCAGCACTGGGGGCGGCTGGAGGTAGTTTGTGTTGCAGGAGGAACTGAGGCATCTCCCTTTCCTTTTGGCTTTGTAGTGCTTTCCTCATTCATTTATGAGCCCGAAAATAGAACTTGAGGGCTTACTTTTTGGTAGACAAATCACAACATCCCCTGGCTCGGAAGGGCCAGGGCAGCAGGGGAAACAAAGTTGTGCAAATTTGAGCCTGAGCGACCCACGGTGGGGCGCAGGTGGGGGCAGCCCCTGGATGCATGTGGGCAGCCCTTGGTGCCTGCCAGGGTCCCCGGGGCCACTCTATGCCACTCCTGCCTTCACCACCACAACCCCACAGCCCACCGCACTCCCAGCACAACCTTGGGAGGCCGAGTGGGCGCCTGAGCGGGAAGAGGGGGCTCTGAGACCATCTGCATCCCACAGTGCCAGGGCCGGCTCCGGTGTTTCCATTGGGGAGTCATATTTTCTTGTGTTAGCTAGACAACTGCTATGTCATCGTCTGCTACAGCAGCTGAAATGGTTTCCCAAATCGAGGCAGAGAGCACTTGGCTAAATGTGCTTTGCTGAGGAATTCCTGTCCTTCCTACACCCCCAATCTCTGAAGACACCTGGAATTGAGCTGGGGCCCTGGAGCCAGCCCTTGGCTGGTCAGGGTGGGTTGTAAGCAGTCACACCCGTCCTTGGGCTCTGAACTGCGTGAGGACAGTTCACACCAGCAATGCTGAGATTAGCTCAGGGTGTCCAAGTGCACATGTTATTTTGGGGGATTCTATCCACTGAAATTTGTTGGCTTGAAAAGAAGCCATGGTCTTCACTGTCTTTTATTTAATGATCCATAATGCCCACGTGAACCAGGCAACTTCCTGCAGCTCCAAAAGAGAGCCGTAGAGTTCGGATCCTCTGTTTCATTCCGAACTGGCAGCAAGGGGCTCCCAGGAGGAGTGGGTTTGATGCCCTCACTCCTCCCCCAGTGACCAAGCTCACCCCTTCCTCAAAAGCGCAGGGGCCCTGAGGTCTCTTGCCTCACAATGTGTCTAGGTGGCAGGCACCACTGGGGCTACCATCATCCACAGACCAACTAGAGAACTTGAGGGAGTCTAATGATTTTCTGAAATGATAGCCAGAAAGTGGCAGGGCTATTTAATTCAAAGCCCTCTCCCCTCACTCCGCACTGAGCTGGCTGCATGTGGGGTTGGAGGTTCCCATAGACAGGGAGGAGGCACCAGCATCTTCGTTTGGAAAAAAAAACTCGTGCTCAGCATTAAAGTCTCAGCACGGAAAGCTACCAGCACAGCCAGGTGGCGTGTCGCCTTGTGCACTCTGTGTGGTTTGGGGGACACAGTTCAGGGCATCTCCAAAAAAAGTAGCAGGGCCAGGGCTGATGGAGGTTGGGTCAGGAGGCCCCTGGAGGGATGGACAAGCACACGTGAGTGGTGATTAAGCCACGTGATGAAAGACCCAGATCCTGGGCATTGCCAGCACATGGAGGGCTGAGTGGGCGGGAGAGGCCTGAAGAGCAAAGAGCACTCAGAGCCTGGAGAGCCACTGGCCCAGGGTATGTCCAGGAGGCTGGCATGGAGGGGGCTGGGACCTGTGTCTGATCACACAGCTCCTGCCCCTGCTCCCTTCTGAGTCTTTCATTTGCTAAATCCAGCACATGCACACACACATGCATGTGCAACACACATGGCACAAACACGTACACACCACACAGTGCACATGCATACATGCACACAGCACATGCACACACATAATGCAAGACACGTCCATGTGCACAAAGCACACACATGCACACACATACTCAGGAGCACATGTGCACACACACAGCACATGTACATGAGTGCAAAGCACACACATGCACATACATGTCCAGTGCCCACAGCATATGCTCACACAAGTACACATGTGCAATGCATACACATGCACACTCGTGTACACACGTTCCCACAGAGCTCTGACTGGGAATGCAGTGTTGGAAAGAGGCTCCTGGCAGGCACAGAGACAGGACGTAACAACCCACCCTAGCCCAGGACACCATCAGTCCTCTACCCCTGGCTATTGCCCTTGGAAGTGCAGTGCCCCTGCCCTGTGGGGTCCTTCACGCCCTCCTCCTCCCCTGTGAGACCCACCAGCCTACCCTCATATCCCTGGGGTCTCTTCCCTCTCCACCCTCACTCGGAGCCACGTGCTGCCCCTGGCCCAGACATCGGTGTCCATGCTGCCCACTGCTCACCAGTGGCGAGAGCTGGCTGGTGTCTTCTCTTTGCAAGAAAGAAAAGAAGGGATAAAAACTTATTTTTCTTTCTCAGGGACAATAATAATGGTCTATGGAGGGGCTACATCCTCAGGACAGGGCTGGGTGGTCATCGTCTATAGAGGGGCCACGTCCTCAGGGCAGAGCTGTGTGCCCGTGGTCTATGGAGGGGCCACGTCCTCAGGGCAGAGCTGTGTGCCCGTGGTCTATGGAGGGGCCATGTTCTCAGGACAGCTGTGTGCCCGTGGTCTATGGAGGGGCCACGTCCTCAGGGCAGAGCTGTGTGCCCGTGGCCTATGGAGGGGCCATGTTCTCAGGACAGCTGTGTGCCCGTGGCCTATGGAGGGGCCATGTTCTCAGGACAGCTGTGTGCCCGTGGTGCTCTTCCCACCACTCCATACTCCAGTCCCCTGATTCCACAAGCATCCGTTCCCATCACTCCATACCAAGCCCACTTCTTGACAGAGCCAGATTATCCATGCGTGAAGATTCATGAAGTTGTTTCCTTTGGTGCGTGAGGAAATTCTGTGATCCTGAGCTCTGAGTAATTGGAACGCCTTTCTACGCCAAGGTTCTCAGCCACCTCTGTTTTGGGTTTCGTGAAGCAATGTGTCAGCCTGACAGGCAGCGGATGGAGTCATCTGTGTTTGTGTTCATTATCATCCTTGGTCTCCTCCCACTTCATCTCTGCTGGTTTAAGGTTTTCTTTTGGGAAATCTGGCCCTTTAAAGGCAGTGGCTTTCTGAAACCCACAGGGAGAGTGCATTTCTGTCATTAAGTGAAACCCAACTCTCGGAGCCTGACTTAATAGCGTCAAAGCAGATGCAAGTGTGTCGATCACGGAGCAGAAGGACCACTCTGTGGCCACTTTGTCCTTCAGCCCTCTGCCCACCTGTCGGATTTGGAGAATCAGAGTGGACTGTGGTTACTTTCTTTGGGAACATGCACTTAGCTGAAACCTCTTACTAAGACGATCTGTCATAAACTTCAGGTTTCATGCTTAAAGAAAAATGACATAGAAGATGAGGCCATCTGGGGTGAGGGCAGGTGAGGACAGGCTTGAAGACAGATTGAGCAAATGTGTGGAGCCACCATGTTTGGAGGGGTTACCAAGAAGCAGACCCCTCCAAACATGAAGGAGTGCCTTTTCAGGCGGGAGGGGCTCCTCTGTGAGTGACAATGAGGACCAACCCCAGGAGGTACTTCTGGGGCCCATGAAGAGATAAGCCTCTTTCTGACTTTGGGCCATTAATCCGTCCCTCCTGACATTCCGATTCTCCACGATCGGTGATCCTGGCTGGGGACCGTTGCCCCACCTCGCAGCTCGGACACCTTTGAGGTTCGTCTTGAACCCACTTTACGCCTGCAGGTTCCTCCATTCCCTGCCCACAACCTGACTCCTCATTTTACTCTCTATGGGGTAATTTATCGTAAGGCTCAAGAAATGAGATGCTCTTTAGGGCACTGACACCCCACCTGGAGGAATGTCCCCACTCACAGATGAATAGGAGGCATCAGAATCTCCTGGGGTGTTTTCAGAGCCCCCTACCTCCACCTCTGCCCCCACCTGAGACCTCTCGCACTGCCCCTTGAGTGGAAAATCACTGCGGTTAAAAATGCAGGCAGCCGCAGCTTGTCTGGAGGGAGGTGTGGTGGGACAGAGCAATATCTCCAGACATGACGTCTTACCCAGGCTCCTCTGGCTGTGGCGCTGGGGCCCCGTGCTCAACACGGCTGTAATGCCAGCTTATTTCCTGGGTGACAGTGAGAAATCAAAGTCCCTTCAGTCAGCACAGGCCTGCTGTGCCCATCGTTAGGTCCCTGGAAAGCAGCAAAATGTGTCACAGGGAAAACACTCTACTTGGGCGCTCAGTCCAGCAGACTTCCATGGAGCCGCGGTGCGAGCCGCGATGTTTAGGAGTGCCTCACACCGCACTTCCCACCTGGCTTAGTGTTCCCCTAGCAGTCACACCCATGCCCATGTGCGACGGCAAGTCTGGGAAAGGACTCAGCATCTCACGTTTCATGACCCTTAAGCCCCTGAAGCCTCTGTCAGTAGGAGGTGAAGGCTGCGTTCACACACCGGTGAGAAAACCGAGGTGCAACGTCATGCACGCGGTGATTAATTCATTTCATGCATGAATGCGAGGCGGGCTCAAGGCTCGATGGGAGGTCTTTCCGCTTACAGCCCTGTGCTATTGTAATGAATTCATTTGGATTAAATCTGTAAGGTAATGTCGGGGCTTGTAACTGCTGCTCAGGCAGAAGCCACTAATCGCTGTAACTATCATAAAAAGGCAAAGGTTCTAGAGCTGAGTATGTCCCTTCTTTGGAGTGGGTGGACACATTATATAGTCTTGAGACCCCCAGAACTTCGCTTGATGACAAAGACCCAACAACCCAGGAAAGAACAATTTTACCTAATATTTTTATTCACTTAACAGAAACATTCACTTATCAGATATCACTGAAGTGCAATTTACAGAACTTAGAGGCAAATTAACATATGTAAATTCATATTTTAAGGTTTTTTTTTTACAAATATTACAAATGTACATCCATTGATACAGTATTGCCATTCAATCATGCTTTTTATGTACATACCTTCAATTATAATTACTATGTATTAAGTTCATTTTGCTTACAAAATGCTGAAAACTAACAGGGCACGCTGGGAGAGATTTTTTTAAAGATGCATAAACTGCAGAGTGATAGAAATCTAGGACCTGTGTGAAAAGAGGCACTGGGACCCACGTGATCTCATCTTCATGTTTAGGGAATACTCATCCCTCCCATCTCGTCTTTAGGATGATGAGCTGGGAAATAAGGTGTTTCTCTCACCAGGGTTTATCTGTCTATGTTTCCTTGCAGGGGCGATATTGTTTGGTGTGAATCTCTAGAGGCCAATGTGGTGGTTCACGCCCATAATCCCAGCTCTCTGGGAAGCTGAGGCGGGTGGATCACTTGAGGCCAGGAGTTTGAGACCAGCCTGGGCAACATGGTGAGACCCTGTCTCTACCAAAAATACAAAAATAACCCGGTCTCAAGAAATTAAATAGCTCTCGAGAGATGTGGCCACCAGTATTCCTTCTGGTGGAAGGTCAGGCTGTGTGGGCACACCCAGGAGAGTCCCAAAATAACTGCAGCGACGCCCGTGCGCAAGGCACCAGGAACCCAGCAGGGCTCCCCCAGCCTCAAGCATGAACCTGCTGCTGGATCCCTGGGGGGTATGGTGCCCGAGACCACCTCCTCCTGGGGGCCCACAGCAGAGTTTCGGGACACAAGACAGCAAGAAAGGGAAGAGGCGGGGAGGAAAGAAGGAGGCGAGAAGGGAAGTAAAAGGGGGTGCTGAGGGCAGAGTGAAGAGGGTGGTGCTGGCCACCTCTTTCCACGGGCGGCATGAGAAGGACGCTTGCTGTGTCCTCACCCTGTCTCTGGTCCCTGCCCCTGTCACCTCTGTTCCTGCCTCCTCACCTCTCCCCCATCCTTCCTTCACTTTACCAGATTCAGAATTTGTGGGAGAAGTTTGACAGGTGCCACCAGCAGCCAGTGTTTCCAGAAACGCCCTGCACCTGCGGTGGCGAGGGACCCAGGTGGCAGTGAGGGACCCAGGCGATGGCAAGGCCCACACTGTGTCCTCCGGCCACCCGCCTAGCTCCACACGGTGGTGAGTCTGCCTGAGACCCTGAAATACCAGCGAGGCAGGGCGGGGGGGCAGTCTGTCCCTGCCAAGAGCTGCCTGGGAGTGCTACGGCCTCTCCTGCAACACAGAGCTTCTAAATTTCCACCTCCAACTGTGAGCTCTGCAGAAACCCCAGATGAGGACAGGCTTTGGGGTGTGTGGGATGGTGTCTCCCTGATGGGGATTAGGGACTCTGCAGGCTCCCTGAGGGCTGCGGGATGGGCATGACAAGGGGCGGCCCGGCGATCCAACGGCAGTACATAAAAAGGAAGGCTCTCACTCCCTTTTGGTCTCCATCAGAAAGTGAGACTTACTGTATTTTGGGCCAATTTGTCAGATTATTTTATTAGAATGGCTTCTTAAAAAATGGGCATAGACGTTTCCCTAAGATAAAAATGTCTACTTTATGTACGCCTCAAATGTCTTTGTTTTAAAGATACTATAGACACCTCTTAAAATTTATCATCTAAAAATAGGATTTCATCAAAATACTCTAACTATTCCGGGCATTGCTATCCTGTGTATTTACGGTTTATGGCTCTCCAGACGTGGTCAGCACTGTACCAAATAAAAGCATGTAACTTTATGGATAAGAAAAGCTTCCTGTGAAAACAAAATTAGGTGGAAAAATGGAGCTGTTTGTTTGAAAAGGAACTCAGCTTGACATTTCTGAGGGACAGGACTCATGACAAGGTCAGCACGATGTGACAGATGTGTACAGTTGTGAAGAGAATCGCAGGAACGGAAGGGAAACCATAGCTGTCGACCCGCAAATCCTTTCCTCGGCAAAGATGAAGCCCACAGAAACCCTGACTCTGTCCCCTGACATCACCCATGGCTCCAGAACCCGGGCTGGAGGTGGCTGGCGGAGGCTGCCTGGCCATGTGGCCGTTCCCTTCGCTCCGTCCTGCAAAAGGTCTGGAAACCACCGGACACTGACTTGCTGACTACAAACCAGGCAGGAAACCACATTGCTGATCTTCCCGATGGGAAAGCAGTGTGTATTTTGGAGGCAGATAAAGGTGGTGTCGGTTTTATGAAGACTTTCGTAGGGGCCTAAGCAGGCGTGAACGCAGACCGCAGAAAATCTGTAGCAAGAGGTAGGGGAGCTGGGGCAGAGATTTCAAGGTGGGCTCTGAGGGGCGGGCCCTGACTTCTTCATCCTCCCTTATGCTGTGCCCAGCGTGTTTTCAGGGTGGCAGAAAGTGGCCCGTCCCCTACTCATGTCTTGCCCCTCACTTGGAGAGGGGCACATGGCCACTCCCAAGACTAAGTCAGCGGTGGAAGTGCAGGGCAGACCTGGCCCGTGAGTGACAGTGGTGCTGGGATGTTCTGCCGGGCCCGAGGGCGGAATCTTCAGGCAGCCCTCTATCGCTGCAGAGGTGACCGGCTCTTCCAGCAACACCTGGGCTGTGGGACTCCTGGGACCCGGCCCTCCTGGCTGGATCAGGCCCTGCCAGTTGGGAGCAGCCTGCGTGTGGCGTGACCTGGCATGATCTGGCGTGGCGTGCAGTCCTAATTTGGCCCTCCATGTGCTTCGTGGAAGGGAAGCGCCTTGTCTTCCACCCTCCCTGCTTGACGCCTCTGTTTTCCACTGGCTGCGTGTGAGTCACCCCTGCCTGCCTCAGCTGCCTTCTCCTTTCACTGCCCAGGGCCTGGGACCCCCCTCTCCTTACATGGGGTCCCTTCTGCAGCCCACATGCCCTCTGACAGACCCCTCCGGGGAAAAGCTCAGCACCTCAAACTCACTTCTGGCTCACTCTTCTCTATCAACCTTCCCGGAAGAGCTTTAATCTCTCCCTCCACGGAGTCTCCTGTGGATTTCATAAACAAATCCACACACTTGTTCTAACGGGTAGTGTGGAATTAATGTGTGGCTCTCCTCAGAAGTGGATGTAGGTATTTCAGTCAAGTCTGAGTTGTTTCTGGAAGGTCAGTGCCTGAGGCAATATGAATCCCAACCCCACCGCTGCCGGCCACTGGGTGGGCGAGTGTTTTCCAAGTCTGGCGAATCAGACCCTGTGTCTTGGCTGCTTACAATGCAGGTCGCTCACTGCAGACCCAGTGTGATCTGGAGCCCCTGGGAGAAAGCATCGTGAGCTTCTCCAGCCATCATCTCAGATGAAGCCGGGAGCTGGCTGTGCCCCACACGTCGGGGAGCCCTGCATCTGCAGTTGCGAACGCCTGAGCCACCATCGGCTCTCCACGCTCTCAGTTCTCCAAGCTTCGTCCTAGTGATGTCAAGCTACCAGAAATTAATCGAAAGTGTCCACTTGAGCTTAGCTTTTGCACTGAATTAAGATTTCATTTATTTTTGCGATTTTTGTAAAAGAGTAATATGAGTTCTTTATTTGCAAAAATGCTCTCATATCCTTTGAAACTTTCTCTTGGAGCAGTTGTCTACTCCAGTGCCCATTTTCTTTTCTAAAAGAGCTTGTAAGACAAATTTGGCCATATTTTAAATCTCAGGAAAAGTTTCTATTTCCATACTAGTATCTCTAATTCTTATTATCTTGTAACAAATAGCTACAACTCAGTTTGTTCCATTTCTGCCTTCTCACTATGATAACGGTAACTGATAGTACTTGGGTATGTACAGCACGTTGTTACTCCTGCACTTTCTGGGGGTGGTCAGCCGGGATTCTTTCCGGGAAGGCCACACTCCAGAGGCGGACACTGCCATGCTTTGCCGGCTAGCTTCACCACAACGAACTTCAGAGATGGATTTTTTTTTTTTAATTGGAGAAATGACAGACTGGCTACATAGCAGGATGAATGTTAGAAATGAGTTCTTGGTGGTGAGATTACAGCAACTGAGGCAATAGATGCCTAAAGATACTTGGAAAAGAGCCAGACTCCTGTATGAATACACCGTCTTAACTCAGTGATGACGCTGTGGGCCAAAGCCCCAGTGTCCCATCTCCACTGTGAGCTGAAGGTTCTCTGGGGTTGGATGCCTGCTCCAGGGTGACAGAACCCTGCCTCTTACATTTTTTGACAGCTGAACTTTTTGGGGGTCTTGTCCTGCAAGGTGCTGATTGGAGAATCTGAAAGAGCAGAGCTGTAGCCTCTCAAGCTGAAGGTAAAGGTTGTTTTGAATTTTATTTTGTGCTTGCTTTCTAATAAAAATTTAGTTAGCAAGTCTCCTTATTACCTGGTAGGGAGGTTACAGGGTGATAGCTAACCCTCACACAGCCGAGCCTCAGTGGTGCTCCGTATCTGCCAAAATAAACCACAGGCTGATGGGCTGAACAGGCATGGGCGGCTCTGCGGGGCGCAGTGGGAGGCGCTTAGAGGGCTCCGCACATCACAGGTCTTCACTCTGGCTTGTGAGCGCTTTGGGAGCTGTTCCTACTCTTTGCGGGAATGGCTTTCATTTCTCAGGTTCTGTGCTAGGTGTTCTTTAATGATGTGCATCTTAAGTCTTTTTTGAAAGGAGGTGGAGTAAAAAAACTGAAATGAATAATGAAAATAATTGAGGATTCTTCTTGGTTTCTCTGGGGCGGGGTGGGCATGGCTTTTCTCTCTGTTTGTGGCTTTATCTTCATGTGCCCCATAAACCTGTGCTAGTGAGACCTGAAGATGGCCGAGAGGCGCACACAGGGCTGGGGTGCAGGGACAGGCCGAGGCTCACTCCCGCCTGACACACGCTGGTGCCTCCTTCCAAGGCTGCAGCTGAGCCCCCTTCGCCTGAATGGAGCCCCTCCCTCGGATGCCACAGGAGAGCCGGCGCCAACTCCACAGCGCATGTGTCCCTGGGTCTGGGGCCAGCTATCTGGGAAGAGGCGTGCTCTGAATTCCAGTCTCATTGCTTCTCCACACATTGCACACTCGTGTGTTTCTGGAACGCCAAAAAAAAAGAATGCAGGGAACCGGCCGACCTGCCACGTTGCCCCGCAGACACGGCCCATCCCTCCAGCGTCTGGCTCAGCTCCACGGCCGGGAGCCCACAGCCTAGAGAGTCAGTAGAAACTGCTGCTGCTCCGGAGGCTTCTGCACCCAGGTGCCCAGGCCGGCCTTCTGAAAGGCCCGGAACAGCTGCTGTTTCACGGCCTGGTAGGTGTGCGCCCCTAGCTTGGCCTCACAGTACATGGACGGCATGTCTCCGGGGCTGGGTGTCCGTGTGCTCAGCTGCAGGCAGGGAGAAAAGCCAGTCAGACACCAGCAGGGAAGGAGCTTCTGCCAGACATCAGCTCATGGCCTCCGCCTTTTGCTTTTCTTTCTCCCAACATGAGAGAGGGCAACCGTTACCAGGCCCCCGGCCATCCTACAGAAACCCAGTCATCAGGGAAACCCACTTCATCCAAGGCGTAAGTGACCAGTGAGCAGGTAAGCTTGATCGCTATTAAAAATACAGACACCACACAGGGGCCGCAAGTGGGGGGGCGGGTGGGGACGTGGGAGCTGCGTCACAGCAGGCAGCGAGCAGGAGGGCCGTGCGGCCGGGGCACTTCCTATTTAGGTGTCTGAGGGGTACCAGGCAAAGCTCTGCAGGAACACAACACAGGGAACAAAGGCAGTTTGGACCCCCCACCGCGGGTGGGAGGCCAGGAGAGAGGAGGATGGGGTTGGGGGAGCTCGGAATCCCACCTCGGGTCTTCCTGGGAGGCACTTGCCGGGGGCGGGGGGTGTCACCTCCTGCACGTGCAAGAGGAGAGGGCCGTGTTGCTCATCAAGACAGCACTGATGCCTCCTTGACCTTCCAAGTGTCCAGGAGACGGGGACTCGAGAAGTGCCCTTGAGTGGGTGGGACAGAGGCTGAAAGCTGAGGAAGATGGAAGCCTGGGCCGAGCTCAGAGCTAATATGTGCAATTTTTAGCATCCCTTAAGTTGGCAAAATGTTTATTTTAGGTGTCAGTCTGTCTATCCTGCTCTACCAGTTGACACGTCAACAACACGATTAGTCCTGCTTGGAGTCATTGCTTGGATTAAAAGTTAGGAAAATGAGCAAGACATTTTTATTTGTTGGCTGCTTTTTCTGTTATTTGTTCTTTTTGGCTACAGTCTTTATGCTTTGGAAACACACACAAATATGTATTTTGATTTGAAATCCAGAAATGTCGCTGTTATCCTTATTTGTGAAGGAGAAAGTTTGCTCCTGATCCTTGATGTCGTGGAAATGCATGGGCTTTGGGGTTGGGGAGAAATTCTAATCCTCAAATTCATTACCTGTGAAATTTTGGGGAAATTACCTAATTTTTCTGAGTGTTGGTTTCCTGGTATCTAAACTGGGAATAGTATTGACTTCAAGAGTCCCCAGGAGCTGCTCCTGTGATACCCCAAGTGAAGCAGGCGGAGCTTCCACAGCTCCGGGCTGGTCTGGGGGTGGTGCCTGGGGCAGCAGGGTCTCAGGTCTACGGGAGAAACGCTGCTGGCCTGGGTGGTTCCAGGTTGGTCTCCGGGTGGTGCCTGGGGTAGCAGGGTCTCAGCTTTACAGGGGAAACGCTGCTGGCCTGGGCAGCGGGGAAAAGGACACGTCACAGGCACTGGGATTGTGTCCCGCGTCTCTCTCCCTGCAGACCAAGTGGTGGCCTCTCCCAAGAGCTTGCTCAGGGCTTGAGCCAGGGTCTGGCTGGGCCCAGTTTCCCTCCAAGGACGGTGCGACCTACCCTGCTGTACAGCCTCGCCCATCGCACAGAGAACACGTGCTTGCAGAGCCGGGATGGGCCCCCACAGCTCCTCCGCCCGGTGGTGGCGTTGATCATCTCCAGGTCTGTGCTGCCCGTCACCCAGTTCACACTGAAGGGGGGCGACTTCCCTGGCTGGCGCGCCTCGGCATCGCTCACGCCTGTCAGGGGAGATGGGGAAAGGCAGGGGTTAATATTCCTGGCCCCACACGGGGCTCCCTGAGGGCAGCCGCAGGGAAACAGCCCGTGTTTGAGAGGGGGGAGGTCCTCCCTTTTCATCCTCAGGGCTGGTCAGTTCCCGCCGTGGTCACATGTCACCCGCAGGGTGGAGGCTGCAAATTGCCAGGACCTGGTGGCCGCCTCAGGTCCACGGTTCCACGGTGTTGCTGGGCCTGTGTCAACTGTCTAAGTGAAAAGATTTTAACAGTCTGGTGATCATAAAGCTCTGTCCGGATTCCTGCCCTTTCTAGAAATATTCGTTGAGTGAATTAATGAACAGAGCCACGTGGGAGTGATTGGAGTGTGTGTTTGCTGGCCACCTCTGCAGGCCCAGCTCTGTTGGAGGCAAAACACCGAGGCCAGGAAGCAACACGCAGCTCCCTGGCTCCGTCGGGTTTACAGTTTAGTTGATGAGAAAAGCAAAACAAAACAATAAAAACAAGACAGAAATGGGTGTGGGATCAGTCGATCCACAATGTGATCCCGAAGAATGGGTGTGGGATCAGTCGATCCACAATGTGATCCCGAAGAATGGGTGTGGGATCAGTCGATCCACAATGTGATCCCGAAGCAGCCCTGGCTACGGCATTTTTGAGACTCAGTGCAAAGTGGAAATACGGGGCCTCTTGTTGGAAAGTTACGAGGAGTTTGGAGATGACAGTGGAGCATTAAGCCGAGTGCGGGTCCTTCTCAGCTCAGGGGCCTCGTGAGCTCCAGGGATGCACATCTGCAACGCTGGTCCTATCCAGAGAGGTCAGCCTCTGCAGGAACGTCCTCAAGTGCGTTGCCCCTTGCATGCTGGGATTTAACGCGGACCACAAGTCCTCTCAGCCTGGCTCACACTGCAGGGGGTGGGTGAGGAGGTCCCCATGCTGGGGTGGCATCTACTTTGCAGCCGGGGCGGGTGCACTTTCTGGTTCCCATCGTGGCCCCAGCCCTCACTCCTTGAGGTGCTCCTGTGCTGATCAGGACTTCTGGAGATGCTGCGGGGAGATGTCTGGAAACCCAGGGGGTACCTGCCGAGACCCTGCCTTGTGACGGCCTGAGGGTCCAACACATGAGATGCGGGTGCAGCTGGGCCCCCCCCAGGTCATTGTTTCAGTCCCTTCTGAAGGCTGCATTTGGCAGCATGACCTTCGGAGTAGGAAGGGCATTGGAAGAGGAAAGGCTGTGGGAGTCAGAGGCAGCACCCAGCGACATAGCCCAAGGCCTCCCATGCCCAGGGTTTCCTCATGGCCCTCGAGGATGTGGCCCTCAGACATCCACAGGTAGGGAGGGAGGGAGGCACATGCTGTTTGGCCCTGTCTCTGCTCAGAGTTTCATAGGAGGACACGTGGTCCACACAAAAGTGAGTTGTCAGGGAGTCCAGGCTCTCGCTCATAACAGTGGCGTTGAGACACTTGGCTATAACCCAGGAGCCCGTGACCTGTTGGTGCCTCCGGAACCACCCACCTCCTGCGGCACTTGCTGGGCCTCCTACTCCACTTGTTCCCCACGCCCAGCAGGCAGGCCATCCTCTCCCGCTGGGTCACACCTCCTCGCAGGTCAGCTCCACCTCTCCAGCCCTGCCCGCCTTCCCAGCCAGCTGTCCTGCGGTGCTGGGAGGGGTGCGGGGCCCCTGAGCTCTCAGGGGCGCCTCACACATCACCCAAGATGGCCAGCGCCTGCACAGAAGAACCTGGTGTCCTGACCGGCGCATTGTGTCCAGGCCACCGAGTGCTGCCCAGGTCCCTGGGAAGCCTCCAGCTATTGATGGAGATGCCCGGACGTCAGGATTGGTCTGACAGCAAAGGCATGGTGGGCTGGGCATGGTACGAGGGGCTCTGGCTGTAGCAGACTCCGGGAGGGAGCTGTCCCCATGTCACATGGTAGCACAGCTCATGATGGGTTCCTGGAAGCAGGAGTCATTGAAATTCAGGGGATGACCCACTCACCATGGAGCTCCACAGCCATAGACCCCAGATTCTCTGTTGCCCCCAGCTTCACCTACCAGCCTGGCTCTGTGGACAGACCAAGCACATGGCCCGTCTGCTGCCCTGGTGACCTTCTGCTGGCCGTGACGGGCAATGTGGGACGCCCAAGCGAATCCCATTCATGTCAGCGCTTCCTTTTTCCTTCAAGTGATTCTTGGCGGCAGCTGCCACCCAGAGAGCAAGAGGGACAATCTGGCCTGCTGGCTGCTGTGGCCGTCCTGCAGGGTGGGGGCCGCCGGGGCACGGATGACCAGGCACAGGAGGGGGCAGTCGCTGCCCTGATCTGTGCGTACTGGGTGAGGTGGCCACCTCTCCTCCTCCTCCCATCCCTCTGGTCTCCATGACAGGACTGACCACAGAGGCCCTGAGCTGCAAACTCTGAACTCAGAGGAAAGCCTTGGGGGCCTGAGGTCTACCCAGAACCTCCTGGTCTCTTGTCAGGATGTCCTGGCTCTGGCCTAGGCCCCTCTCACTTCTCTTTGCGGAGGACAGCGTGGCCAAGTTGCTGCTGGCCCTTGGCTGGCTGCAGTCTGGTGGGGCTTCCTCCCAACGGTCCTGGCTGCCAGCTGCGATGAGGCCCAAACACCGCCAGGAAGGCGGCTGTGAGGACTCAGGGGTGAACCCAGCACGTGCTGCTCCACACGCGGGAGACAGGAGGAAGGGGCGTGGCTGGGCTGCAGGGGAGGCGATGACGGGTGGGCCGCGGGGTCCCACCTTGCGGGGGGCTTCTGGCCAGGGTGTGAACCTGTTTGTCCATGTGTGCACAGGGAAGACAGCATATGCTATAAACAGCATCTCAGCTCACCTGTGACAACTCGAATCACACTGCAAATCAGTCAATTCTAACTACAGCAACCCCATAAATTACTATTTAAGGTAGAAAGTGGTGTAAACCTAGGAGCAATCTTCAGTATCCAAGCCTGTCCCTGACCCAGGAGGTGGAGAATGTACCCCTGGGGCCTCTCCCCTTGACTGGGAACCAGGTGGCTGGAGTTCCAGGTGGCTGGAGTTCTGTGGCCCGAGGTCATCTTCCACTTACCCGCTCATGACAGGTGACTTCTCTGCCCCAGGAGGTGATGTGAAGATTACAGCAGACAGATGAGAGCGTGCTGGGAGCACCCAGGCTCTGAGTACTGCTGTTTTCATCTGAAGGAGATTTGAAGGGCAGCCGCAGTGCGTTAGTGCTCTCCAAGTCACACAGATCAAAAGTGTTTCTAGTTAGATCACAGCGAGTGTTTCCAACTTAGTTACAATCACCTAATTGTGTCCAGGGAACGGAGGAAGCAACCAACAAGCAGAGGTCAGAATTCCTTTCACAGCAACACGTTCTGTTCCCTTTGTTTGCCCTCCGCAGGGGACGGAGCTTCTAGGAAGGCTCTCAACCCTCTGTTCTCTTGCAAGAGGAAAAACTTCCCAAGGCAACCTGGAAGAATAGCAGTCCTTTTCTTTTTCTTCTGCCTTCTTTTTTTTTTAATAAACCTTCCATGTAGAGATAGTGTTGGGATGTTTCCTAAACATTCGCACTGTCAGTACTGTTTCTGACATCGCCGTAACTAACTGCAGCTGATCATGTGAGCCCAAGGAGTGGGAACCACGGCCCAGATCCCTCAAGTCTAATGAGCAAAGAGACACACAATGCTCACGTCTGCCTAAACTGTTAGGTTTTGCCATTAATGAATCTTCCTGTGGACAAATCCCTCACGGTTAGAGGAAGTGTGGTCAGGAATGCCCTGTGTGGCCAGAGGGAACCAGGTGTTGACTTCTCTAGCATGGCGAGTGTCCAGGCTCCAGGAAGGGCCGTGGCCTCCTGTGTCCTTTCACTCTCTTTCCAGTTCCCCACGGCCCAAATCACATGCACGTGGGTAACGCCCCGTCCTGGATGTCTTCTGAGGATGCGCGAGCATCAGGGTATCAGGTCACTCCAGGGTCTGTCTTTCTTTGTTTTGTTTATTTTTGCCTGGGGAGCCACCTGGTTGCTCAGGAACCTTCTGCTCATACATGAATGATCTCACTCACGGTGCACTCATTTTATAATTTTCCACCAATTTCCCAGGTGCTTCACGAGTCTTCTGGGAGCTGGTCCAGCGCTGGCTCACGGTGTTCCTGTTGAGCACCTTCCCCGCCACGGAGAAGTGAGTTAAAGGGTGTTAGGGCTAAACTCTTAACTCAGAGCTGGATTGCACGGCTAATGGTACTTGTAGATGGAGCCGGACAAGGTGAAGACGTGAGTGCTCAGGCCTAGAAACAAAAGCGTGGCTGAGTTTAATTTTAACTCCTATGGCTGGAAATATGAAAATGCGTGAACTCCTGGCTCATTCCTCCTGAAGTGGGCATCAGCTGATTTAAGACGGAACTCGAGTCCCAGAGACAGAGGTTATCTGCAGCTGCAGGTGCCCCCTGCCTAGGCCTGTCCCACCCTGTTCCTGAAGGCAGCACGCAGCACATGCCTAGAGACCCGGTCAACTCAGGACACATGGCACCACCTCCTTTTCCCGGTTCACGGCACTCAATGCCTCCTGGAGCTGATTCAGGGAATCTCCAGCAGTGAAAGGTACTAACAGACCTGTGGGATCCTAGGACGCAGCCTGTGCAGTCCGCTCCGACGAGAAAAGCGTCCTCCCGAGAAATCGCGTGAAGGAACCTCAGTGCGAGGTTCTGGATTTACAACAAATCCAAGTAAAATGGACCCCAGGGACACTGGGCAGCTTCTGCCTCAGTGACTCGCGATGCGGGAACTGTACTGTATATTCTGATGTGGTTTCCACGTGCACAGAAGTTGTACTTTTGCAGGCTGTGTTTGTTTGGGGTGATTGCTGTAACACATTGTGACATGTGTGGTGGCTTAAAGCAGCAGAAGTCTGTTGTCTCATAGCTCTGGAGGCTGAAGTCTGAGGGTGCAGGCAGGGCCGTGACCCCTTCAGAGGCTCCGGGCAGACCCTTCTCGCCTCTCCCAGCCTCCCTGGCTCCCT